AGCAGGCAAAAGAATAAGTTAAAAAAATATGTGTCACCTAAATTTTCATTTACGTAGCTACAGTTTGGTAGGAACAGAGATAGGATAATGCAAATATTAATTGTACCATTTGCACAACTGTACTAGACTTATGACAGCAATTGAACCCCAATGTTTCTATTGCTATGTGGGCAGTTGTTAATTCAGTTGAGCCTCATTTTATAACTTTTTTGCCATAATTGTTAAGCAAATCACTACAGTTGCTTGTCAGATGATTGGGAAGGTTACAAATGGTGATCACAAGACAATGCAACTGCCATAAATACATGACCCTTCACATCCTGGACCTACACTGTTTCAACTCCTACCCTCAAAATGACACTAGAGGGCATTGCACACCAGAACAACTAGACATAAGGACAGTTTTCTCCGAATGCCATCACTCTGCTAAACAAATAATTTTCTCAACACTGTCCAACTGTTTACAAAGTCTGCACTACTATTACTGTTAATCTTCTCATCACTCCTAATTACCCATCCCCTCCCACTTGTGACTATATGACTGTAACTTTGTCACTTGTATCCTTATGATTTATATTGACTGTTTCCTAGTATGATTTGATTACTGATTTATACTTACCGTTTCCTAGTATGATTTGATTGCTTATTATGGCTATTATTAGGTGTTATACCTTATGATTCTTGACTCTTGACGAATGTATCTTTTCGTTTATGTCTACTGAGAGTATTTGCACCAAGACAAATTCCTTGCGTGTCCAACCATACTTGGCCAATAAAGAAGTCTATGCTATTCTATTCTACCTGCCAAGTATCTGAATTTTTATCATGTGACCATGGGAATACTGCAATGGTTTTAAGTGTGAAAACAGGCATAAGTCACTTTTTTCAGTGTCATTGTAACTTTGAATGGTCAATAAATGAATGGTTGTACATCGAGGACTACCTGTATTAAAATTAATTAATACATATCAGTCCCTCCTATTAATCATGTCACCATTGAAAATTCTGAATTCAGCTGTTCTTCAGCAATGTCTCAGCACCAACAAGTGGGGTTAGTATTTCCAAATCATTAGGAGCAAATGGGCTCTACAACTTCATTTCATTCTAGAAACAGCTCCAAATGGCAAAACCCCTTACCGCTCCATGCAACCATTTCATCCTAGATTATTTTTAATTTTTAAATAATTTCGTGGTTGACCCAACAATGGCTAATTAAATCAATAAAGTATGTTCACTTTCCTTTCTCGTCCCCCTTTTCAAGCATCTATAAGTTGCAAAGTAAGAACTTTGCTACTAAGTTTTACAAAGGTGGGCTATAAATTCTTTATTACAAAACATCCAAGGGCATCCATAGAAAAAAATGAAATGAAAAACTGTTCATTCTTGTTTTAATTGTTGTAGCATCCGAGGATTGGATGGTTTAAGCATCAAAAGAGATACTGTAATGTGGGAAGGATGTGGGGAAGCATCACGTGTGGATATATTTAGGGATGCAAAGGAAAGGCGTGGCGACTAGCAGTGAGAGAACAAACCCTAAAAGGAAAATGCAGGAACTGCTTTCCTTGTACGTTTTTATTTCCTGCGTAAGCAGGAAGGGCAAGTAACATGGCAAGGTCTGATAGGCCTTGCAGAAGCTCAGCGCTGTTGTCGACCCGTTCAGTCTGGACTGGAATTACAGTCTGGAATTACAGAGACAGCTGAGAGCAGCCTAGGCAGCAATAAAGAGTTTCTGTTTGTCTGCAAATTGTGTATGATGGTGCCCCAGGGCATTACAGCAAGCTCACAGGGGCACAATGGGAAATTTTAAATTCTCATGGGAAGCTCAACAAGGCTGAACATCTTCAGAGCCTGCATGAACTACTAGCTCAAGGTGATTGACAATCTGGATGCTGTGAAAAAATTTCTGAGACACTAAGGGTGCCACGATTTGAAAAAGTTTCAGAACTTCTACCCTTAAATAGTACAGTGGCTTCTCTGTATCAGTGTCATGACTTGCATTATCACAGGAGATATGACAGCAATCCGATTTGTCTCTAGCGAGTTTAACACCAAAGTAAAACTGCAGAATTATTCCTTAGGAGTACAATTCAGTAATCTTGTCACTTGAACAAAGCTTTTCAAGTTTGTGTCTTTGGAGGAAATGAAGTACAAATATAAATTAAATAAATAAATCCAAAAATAGAAAAATCTGCAACATTTTTACTGCATTTCTTTCTCTTTTCCAGAGAGGAGTAAAAATGTTTTTAGTCCTGAGACTAAAAGCTCTACTAGAATAGCAACCAAGTCCTTGATGCTTATTTCATATTCCCTCGTTACATTGGTATTATTTAGAGTATGTTCCATTAGCCAGTTTGTTCTTTTTTTGCAAGGACACTGCTGAATATTGCCCAGAAACAAAAGATCTTCTGATTTTTTTTAAAAAAAGGACCAGCCTAACACACACGGTCCTTCCGTGTACTGAAATATATAATTTTTTAAAACATTTGCAAAGTAGAGGTTTTTATTCCTTCAGCTCCATAACTATTTTTTAATCACAGAGGCAACAATGTCTTCATGCAATTACAACAGCATTGTAGGTCAAGGATTGGCCTTACCTATATTAGATATATGACAAGCAGACAATAGGACTCTGGGCACCATAATTACATAGAGAGATCGTGAATGGATAATTGATTAAAAGTGTAGCTCATTGGAAGACTAGAAATGTGTCTGAAACCACAAAACCATTTCAAGCAGAGGATGGAATGGCAGAAAGAAGTGATTTTCACTAAAACAAGATATGGTTTTGAAATATATCCCTAATATTGTTTCTAAAGATTTTTCACCACTATGTATTCTAAATGGTCTGTGATTAATACATATATGCCTACATTTCTCTCTTGTAACATCTTCATATTTTTTCAACAATGTTAGCAGAATAAAAATGGCATTGGGTCAGACCAGTTTTCTTCAAACCTCCTCCTACAATACAATCTGCAAAGTGCGACACAGGCCCATAAATATTTGAGCCAGGGTCATGTTAGCAGCCTCAAAGTAAATGCGAATATTTTAATGTACTGACATGTCATTTCCAATTTTTCTTGTCAAATGTGTTAAATTAAATTACATTTAAAAGTGAACTAAATAGCAACATTTAAAATCAATGTAAATTATTTCGTTACAAAATTTATTATTCCATTGAGTTATCCTGAAAATATTTCAGAATTTTTTAAAAAAACACCTACAAAAATGTCAGATTTTTATTTATTTATTTATTCATTCATTCATCATATTTCTTTCTTTCCCATCTCTCTCAAAAATGTTTTGCCATCATTTTTATTTGCCTGGCCAGACAAATCCTCATATTTCCTTCTGCTTAACTCTAAATCTGAACAAGACTTAAAGCCCTTCAGATCAAAGTCCACTTCTATGGTTATTTAATCATTTCTTTAATTCGACGGGTCATTTGATTATTAATACGGTTCAATAGAAATTCTTCCTAACTGCAGGTCATCCACAAGGTCTGTTAACAGATTCTATCTGCTCCTCCATATGACACCAACGCACCAACGTGTTATAATGTACTAGTTACTAAATAGGTATAAATCAGTATTAATTAATACCATTGCATTTTTTTTCCAGTATCAGGTTGCTAAGTATGGAGGGAGGGATGTATGGAGATGGAACCTAACGTTTTCCTTCTCGCTGCAAAGTTTACCAAAATACCACTAGAGGGAAGCCAATTGCAAGGAATAATCTCTGACTCGTCCGGAATGGGCAAAGTTCTCCAAACTTCCCATCTCCTCCGATTGCTCCTGGGATACGTATTTCCGTTCCTCTGACGCTTGGCCGAAACGGAGCTCCAGTCTGCAAAAACATCCCTTCCCCCCCCCTCCCCCCATGGATCCTATGACGAAGAGAACATTCTGCGGTGTCGTAGCACCATAAGACAGCACGAAGTTGGCGTCTTATTGCGAATGATACCCACGTAACTTTCTTTCGCCTCTGGCGGGATCTGATTTCCAGAGTCCAAAAGGAGGGGGGGGAGGGAGAAAGTGATGGACCTATTTTGAAGAGAAAGGAGGAAGAAAAATAATAATAAGAAGAATAATAACGGATCTTGCGCCTCCTAGGTGGAAGGCGTTTGAATCCCTCCGTGGACCAAACGAAGGACTCTTAGTTGCATCGTGCCATTCAGTCCCCCCTTCGACTAGCAGCGAGCAGCATCCCTGGAGGAGGAGAAGAGGACCGACCCCGAAGGAGTCGAGGGCGGGGACTGAGAGCTTGTCCTGGGGCTTAGGGAGCCCGGGAAGGACAGAAAGAAGCCAAACCTACCAACAACAGAACTTGCCAGGGATTTAGGATCGGTCTGAGCTCATCAGGATCCGCGCAACCAACGAGGAACTGATCGGTCACGACACTCCCAAGCCCACCCACACCCCTCTCCGTATCTTCGGCACCCTCGTCGGGAGGAATATTTGGGAGATGGAAGCTGCTCCAGCCCTGGCTGTACACAACCGAGAGCGGCTCTGGAAGAGCGAGGGAGCCGCGGCTCAGTAGGACCGGCGGGGGAAGGTAGCCCGCCGAGCCCCCGAAGAAGGGAACCGCCGCTCCCTCTCCAGCGCCCGCCACCCGGCCTTTGGCTCTGGCGCTGCCCTTCGCTTCCGAGACTGAGGCGCCAAGGAAGCGCGGCGCTTTGAAGAGCCCCGCTGTGCTCGCTGACAGCCAGGCGAGCCCGAAGCGAAGAGAGCAGGTGCCGCTGACCTTCTGGGGGCGGGCGGGCAGGCAGCGTCCCCCTCGCTCTGCCCGGGCTTCCGTTGGCCGGCGGAGGCTGCCGTGAGGCGAAGGGGCGGCTCACAGCTCTCCCTCTGGGGCACGGCGGACGGCTACGAGGGGAGCGCGCGGAGCGGCTGGCAGCCCCCGCCCACCCCAGGGAGCCATTGCCCGCCTGCCGGTGAGGAAAGCGGGCAGGGGAAGAGAGAGTCGCGCTCCCAATCCCCGCCCTCCGCTCGGCGGCTGGCGCTGACAGGCCCTGGGCGGGCTGGGCTCGGCGGCCCCTGCTCCGGCTGCCATGTGCTGGGGCTGCCGCCTCTCCCGCGGCCTCCCTCGCTGGTCTAAATGCTCCTAGGGGCGTCCTGGCTGTGCTCCTCCAAGGCTGCCGCCGCAGAGAAGCGAGCGGCGGAGGAAAGGCGGAGGCGGCGGGCGGCTTCGGCGGCAGGCGGCGGCGGCAGCGGGGGCAACGGTGAGGGACCGCCGGCCGCCGCCGGAGGGGCCATGGACGAGTCGTCGTTGCTGGACTTGTTGGAGTGCTCCGTGTGCCTGGAGCGCCTGGACACGACGGCCAAGGTGCTCCCGTGCCAGCACACCTTCTGCCGCCGCTGCCTGGAGAGCATTGTCAGCTCCCGCCACGAGCTGCGCTGCCCCGAGTGCCGCATCCTGGTGGGCTGCGGCGTCGACGAGCTGCCCGCCAACATCCTGCTCGTCCGCCTGCTGGACGGCATTCGGCAGAGACCCCGCGCGGGCGCTGGAAGCGGCTGTTGCGGGGGCGGCAACTGCGGCCCCGGCAGCCCCAAGTCCCCGAGCAACGCTGGCCTTTCGGGCGGCGACAGCGGGGACAACCCTACCGCCGCTGGAGCAGGAGGAGGAGGAGGAGGAGGAAACAGCGCGGTCCCCCCTGTTAACCCTGGTTGTCAACCCGCCGCGGTGGCCACCACGTCCAGCGGCTCCCCGAGTGTGGCCGCTGCAGCGGCTTCAGCCGCCGCCAGTCTGCGGGAACTCGCCGCTGCCAGCCGGAGCGCCTTGCTTAAGGTAAGTTGGAAGCCAAGCCACCCTTTCTTTCTTTCTTTCTTTCTTTCTTTCTTTCTTTCTTTCTTTCTT